CTGGATTTTGTTCGAATTTTAGTAGACGAAAACAAATTGATGTGATCAGCACCTTTTATTTCGGAATTTATTTTCTAGTGTGCGGTATGTAACTTGTTTTGGGTCAAACTTTTCAAAACAAAACGAATTCGAAACAAAAATTTAACGTTACCACCGTAAGGTTTTTCGAACAAAAAATAACGATATGTTCCTTTTTGAACACAAAATTTTGTTTTGGTTTTTTTGAATGCGGTTTTGATTGAAGTCTATAAAAATATCAATTCATGCATTTTTTTGTCGGATCATAGGCTAAAAAATGCCTCTGAATCATCTTTATAAAAAAATTTTTTTTCGTATAAAAATTTTTTTTTTATCTTTATAATCCATTGTTGGCGTTTAAAATTATGTGTAAAATTTAGTTTAAATGAAAATTTTACTTGTCAATTTTTTTGGCGATTTTTAATACGTTATCCCATTAATTATTTTGAAACAAGGAAAATAAATATTCGAATCTAAATGAAAACAACGAAACGATTTCACTCAAAATAAATTTACGTGCCACCTTTTTTGGAAAAACTTGAAAATTCGGAACTGGTTTGGACAAAATACTTCCCCAAGATAAAAAAATGTTGTTTTAACACTTTTCTCAAATTTCAAGGGCGCTAGTAAACACTTAGTTAGTAATCTCTACACAAGTAGAATAACAACCAAGTTCTTTACATACGAGTACCTAGAAAAATGGAATTCTTAGTAGAGATCATAATATGTTAATTCATATTCCGTGAAAAGCTCGCCAATTAGTTTTGAAAGTAAAAAGAATTCAAATATTAAATTCAAGAAATTAAATAAAGTAAAAAATATAAAATTGATTGGAGTCCTTATATTTCCCAAAAATGTTCTACTTCAATCTGATTTAAAATATTAAATTTCAAGGAAATCGGTTGATTATTTTTCTGTACATGGGAAAAAATATCTATAGATCAGTACATTATATTTTGCTGAGATTTCGTCGAAAATATAGATATTGCCAAACGAAACTTTTTTATAGAATATAAGCCAAGCTGTGGAATATTTTCTTAAAAATAATGAAAAATCTAAATCGATCTGCACTAAATAGCCACTTCCTAAGACCTGAAATATCTCAAAAATTCAATAATCATTCAAATCGGATCAGCCGAAACTGAAGTTGATGATTGCACCCACTGACTGACATCTTTATAAAAATTGTTTATTTACATTTCCCTTCCATAAAGAGGTGCTTTTTGGCCGAAAACTTGACATGTGAAATTCTGTGCCATTACATAACCTCCACTACTTTATGCAATAAATACTACTCTCAATTATTTTGTTGTACAATATGAATTGTAATTGCACAAAAAACACACTTATGATATAGTAAATATTTTATTACTTCTTTATTTTCAATACATATATTTTTCATATGAACCTTAATTGTGGAATCTATGACATGAAATATAATTCTTATTACACTTATTGTTATGTACACATTCTTATACATAAATGTACATTTTTGTGCAAATGTAGAATCTTTATAAATACTTTTATACACAAACAGGTATTCCAATATTTTAAATTCATAGAACATTGACCTCAATAGGCTGAAATTATTTTCATGCAAATATTTTATTTATATCTAAGTTTTTATGGACAGAAAAGTAACTAAATTTTTCTTTCTTTTTTTTCAAATTTACAAAATAAATTTTTAACTTTAAAAACATTACCGCAGCACCGTCAATATAATACATATTAAATATTCGACTATTCCAATAAACTTGCTATAAAAGTAATGAAATGATGTAAGTGCAATAATAATGAAAAATTTATGCTTTCGTCTACCAGCATTTATTTTGTGTCTGCAATCTAATACCAAAAAAAAAGTAAAAACAAGTTGGAAAAAAATTTGCTCCGCATAAAAAAGTACATTTTCAATTACGAATAACGAAAATCAGTTCCGGATTTAAATACATATGTTCAATATAGGCTAAATCTCAACGTTTGGCAAGGCGAAAAAAAATTTTAACATACTTAATTTCAAAAAAATGAAACTTAAGTATATTCATAATTCTTCTGGTTCTAGTTGAAAGCAGTTAAATTATATATAGGCGAAATAAATGACTCTAAATAAAAAACGAATTTTTGTGAAGATATTTCAAATGGAATCAACGTTTCCGAATCCTTACCTAGCAAAATTATTTATCATGCAAACTTTTTTATATCTGGGCCTGTTGAAATATAAAGTATTTCTAGCTATTTTGAATACATTAATTCGTTAATTTGTGTAACGTAATTATGCAATTAAAAATGTATTAAAAAAGTATCTCGATTATGGGTCTCAATAAAGTGCTATAGCGGATGTTTGATAGCTGAAACTCTTATGATCGAAATGGCTCTCCTTATAGACAATTTTCATTAGGTCCCAATTTTTAGAATTCTCGTACACATTTTTAAAAGATAAATTAAGTCTAAAAAAATTATTTTGAATCACTGTTTAGGTTACTTTGAAATAATGTATGTATAAAATTAATTTTTATACAATTATATACATACATATATGCCAGTTTATTATGCATATGATTTACAAAAATTTTTTCTTTTAATTCCAATATAAAATTAAAAAAAAACTTAAAAATACGAAAAGCATATATGACATGATAGGTTGATAACACTACAGTTAAAACCAATTCGAATGTGCAATTTATTTTTGTACTTTTTTATCGCAAACTACATATACATAATATGTACACGGTTTTTTTCTGTCTTTTTCAAGTTCGTGCTTTAATTTTAGCGTAAAACCATTTTTACTTCAGTTAAAATAAACATTTCTTTTTTAGAAATCTATTACTCGATATTACCTACATACATTCACATACGTTCGTACCTGTACCAACATATTATTTTCAAAAGAATACCTCTGAGAAATATTCACTATGATTTGTACAATCTAAAAAAAATAAGAAAATGTAATAGAAGTAAGCGTAAACTCTAGGAACCTGCATGCTTTGATTTTTCTATACATTAAACAAAAATGTTTTTGTACATATTACGTTATGTATGTATTTACATTTGTATATCACATACATACGAGGTATGTAAATAGGTATGTAAATAGGTTTAATAGGAACCTAATATAAAGGAATGAAATGAATTTTGCTTGTGTTATTATACTAAAACAACTGCAGTTGGAAAAATGTAATAAAGACTTTTTATACCCGTATATGAACGTATGTCCAAAGGTTATACGAAATTTGCCTTACCATTTGCCAACAATTACTAAAAAAAAAAATTGAGCTAGCAATGAATCTCATCAAATTTTCACAAATGATTTATTATAGTAAATACAAGAACCCTATTTAAAATGTATGTGATAGAGGTACTGGTCCGGGTAGCTCCCATAACTTAAAAATTTGAATAAATGAAATTTTTGCAAAGTGTTCAAATTTTATAACAAAAAAGTAAATATTTGAATTGATCATTTAATAAATTTGTCTATATGGAACTCAAATTTACTTATTACTACGGTTCATTACAGAATCATGATGTAAATGTAAAATACTTAAGTAAATTTGACTAGATTAAAAGTAAAACAAAAATAGAATATTTTTACATCCCAAATAACACTCTTGCAAATTTATAATATTCATCATTAATTTATAGTAATGTAAAAAGATGCAAAAAATGTAGAATTAGGTATTTTTCATTCTTTAGCTTAGCATACATAAAAAAAGTATCGTAATACATCAAGAGCAAATCAAGAAATCATAAGACATTGCTTATAATTAAAATAATGACATTCCAATTAGAAAAACCTCCTAAAATTTTGAATATTGTAAGGCATTCTTTGATTAATTTATAAAGTTCAATAAAGGTTGTATTTATTAACTGTTTCAGTGCTAAGCAATATATGAAAATTTTTGTGAATATATATATATGAAAATTGCTTTTTAATTATTTTTATAATTAATTCAGACAAATATCAATCAATTACTATAATTCTTTTTTTTTAAAATAATGAACAAATGTTTTGAGATACTTATATAAAAAATAAACATAAAATATCATGTAGCGTTTACTTTTTATTTCTTTTGGAAATGAAAATAATAAAGAAACATATCTCAACAAGATATCATTAGGGTTTGAATCATCATCCGAAGTAATAACAAGTAACATGGCCATTTTTCCTTAATAATATATAAAAACTGCATAAATGTATAAATATGCACCCTCGTAACAAGTTATGTGCGATGTTAGAATACGTCCACTACCACGAAGCACCAAAAACACACTGATGCGCGCGGTAGTTTTGTGCTGCGGCGCAATTTTTCAATTCAAACTCTTGCATCATTTTTGTGACGCTTAGGTTAGGTAACACTCTTACGGTTAAAGTAGAACATTTTAAATGCACTTCCGTCCTGTGCCAACCACATATTTGATTTTAAACAAAATTTAATAAGTAGTCAAAACATCGCTTACACTTACATTAATAGGTTTAAAAACTCACCAAAACTATGTAATATGCTTCAAAATTCATTTCATTTCAGTAAATAAATTACGTTTCAAAGTTTTTTTTATAAAATAGAAAAATTATGCTATTTTCCTCAAATTTATAAAAGATTAAATTTACACATTTTGATTATTTTTTATTTATTATCTTTTTTTCATATACTTTTCATGTAGGACTTTGTGTGTTGTTATTTAAATCTCGTAAAACCTAACAAGAATTACCATCAAAATTGTGACGGTTTCTTTGAATTATGTGTTCTGTCATTTAAGATAGTCTAAAAATATCCACTTAATTATAAATCATGGCAATAAAAATCCAAATAAAAATTAATCATTTTATGTATGTATTTTTCTGTAATTCGTTTTAATTCAAATGATTGAAATTTTTTAATTTAATTTTGTTAATATTATGCGTTATTTATATCAATATTGCACAAACACACATAAGATATTTATCTACAATTATTTATACGTGTGTCATTTACTTCCCAATTTTTTAGTGTCACCAGTCAGTTCAACTACATTTTCATGATTACTTGAATTCTTCTTCGTATAGGTACTACTTAGTGTATAAGACAAAGGCAAAATACGAGTATGTGGTATAAAGGTTTTTGAATAACTTTCCCAGATTTATTAATGTATGAAAAATTAACAACCATAAGAAAGGTGAGCATTTGTATTTGTTTACATTTAGTATTTTTATAAACACACATACACATACATATAAGTTATTCAATCTGCATGTACTTTTTTCCGATTTTATTTATTTTGGCACAAGCATGTTAAATTTATTATAAAATACACTCTCAAGATGCAAAGATCTAATAAGAAATTGCGTTCATAAACCTTAAATATAAAATTAAAATCAATAGCAAAATCTATTTTTATTTTCTACAATTTATCATAATTTATTTTCTAATTAAGTTGTATATAAATATTATAAATATTTAACATCCCTGCATTCAGTGACGTTCACCGACCTTTTTTTTACATATATTTAAAGAAGATGTAGATTCGAAATAGTCAATCACTTAGCGTCTTAACCGCTTTTCAAAAAAATTTGAAAAAAGTGCTTATTAGTTTCACTCTTCTCGTTCGTCCGACCTTCCATCAGTCCATCCGTTCGTCTGTGGACATGTTTACAAAACTTCTACACCATTATATATCTAAAAGATATAGCTCCTGAGAGACTTAAAAATTTTTTAAGCAATTATTGTAGCAAAACCAGAAACATTTTTTAAATTCTGCAAAAGCAGAAAAGTAGTGGTTGACTTTTTCTATAGCGTTATACCATGCTTTAACCAAAAAAAAACGAAATGGTTGTTAAACTTTATCGTTATCTAAAATCCGTTTTTTGTTCAAATTTTCGGTATCGTTTTTCTTCTAGACCATAGATTGTAGATGTCGTAAATTTTAGCAACTTTTCCACCTCCCAACACCCTCTCGAGTTATCACTTCTTGAAATTTGTAAAATTTGAATTTTACAAATTTTATATTTCCGCGGAACTCTAAGCTTTACCAAATATCTATAAATGCAGAAAGCTAACGGTAAATGCCATGTAATTAAAAATATAACAATTTTTATACCCTGCACTTCGTGAAGGGTATATTAACTTTAGTATGGAGATTGTAACTACTTGAAGGAGTCATCTGCGGTATGGAAATATATATATATTCTTGCTCAGCGTAAAATTCTGCGTCCATTTACACATGTCCATCCGTCCGTCCGTCCGATCGCACGATAACTCAAAAACGAATAATGCAATCGACACCAAACTTTCACAAGTTTTTTCTTTTGTGCCAAGGACGAGCCCTATTGTTATTGGACTAATTCGGACAACGGGTTCGGGTAGCTGCCATACAACTTAAAGAGTTTATTTTAAATATTTCAAAAACTAATAAAGCTATAAATATAAAATTTTGTATACATGTGTCCAATTATATTCTACACATGCTCTAAAAAATTTAATGGGATAGCTGCACCTGTTCGGGAGGCTGCCATACAACTCCAACAGCAAATTTTTTATATCCGACAAAATAATAAAGTCAGATTCATGAAACTTGGCAGTTGTGTGTCCGATTATAGATCAGATATTTGTGAAGTTTTGATGGAATTGTTTGACAGGTTCAAGTACTTGCCATACAACTTCAAAAGCTAATTTTAAATATTTGGAAAAATTATAAAGTCAGATTCATGAAACTTGGCAGTCGGATGTCCAATTATATGTCAGATATGTCCGTGAAGTTTCTATAGAATGATTTCACAGGTTCGAGTAATTGCTACACAATAACGAAAGGTGCAGGGTATAATTCAATCGGTTTATACCGACTGAAACGTTTTTACTTGTTTTAATTCTTTTTTGTTTTATTTCAGAGATTGCATACATTGCTTATCTTATAAATGTATGCAATTTTTGAAAGTTTAAGGTATATGAATGAAAGTACAGTCGAACACGCTTAATAACATACTGAAACATGCTCAGGAAAAGATTTATACTTTTTGCTTAAAAAAGTAAGAATTGTTCCTCTGAATTTTTTTTTGTATTTCTTTTGTCAAATTTTTATTTTGTGGTTTTAAGCGAGCGAAATTGAATGAAATTAGACATTTTGACGTCGAGAACTATGTGATTTTAGAAGAGTTTCTATAAAGCGAGTTCGAATATGTGTAAAAGTATATGGATATTTTTCTTGTAGGTAGGGTGACTCGTAGACCAAATTAAAGCTTAGTTGACAAGATTATCAACTGTACTAAAATTGGATAAAGCTCGAATATTACGTCACCTAGAAAATTAACGAAGTGATTCCGAAATCTAAATATATTTGTCAGTGTAGATTATTCTGAGGTTTCTAAATCACATTTATTAATGTCTTGCCCAGGCATGGAGTTATACTTAAAATTTTAAAAAAGTTAAAAAATCGATCGAGATTCACTTAAAGCGCCTGCAACTTCGAATCTATTAATCTGTGAATATCGTCTCTACATAACAAAATTTTGTCTACTAAACGGCCTATGCAATGGTATATAGCAGAGCGCTTAGATAGGGAACACTCTGTTTATATTGAATACTTAGCATGTGATTTAATTCCGTTCTTATATCACGAAAATGGGAAAGGGATAAATAAAATGGTAAAGAAAAATTAAGAGAAAAGAATAGGAAAAATACGAAAGCTAGGGAGATAAACAAATGTTTAGATTATTTAATTTATTTATCTACTCCCATCATAATAATTTGTAAGTTTATCTACATATATAAACATATTTAATATATGTATATATTAACAACCCAATATCGATATTTGTATATATGTATGTACATATCTAGGGTTTTCTACTAGAATATAACTACATTTTTAAGAGCTTTTTTTGATGCAAGAAAAAAAATAAATTTTTTCAGTAGTTTTAAAAAAAAACTCTTGAAAAACATAATAATTAACCAATTACTCCAAAAATTTTTCGTACAAAATTATGTAGATATATTTATTCATTGTTATTCACTTCTTGAAATTTTCTAAGAAGGCATTAAAATAAAGATATGTATGTAATGTTAGACACTTTTGAAATGAAAGTGTAATATATACTTTACCGTCTCGTTTCAAGCTAACACAGATTGAAACAATCTGCGCTTATATATTTCTTCATTTTATGTTCAATGGTTCATATTGGTTATATTCATATAATATGTAAGTGAAACGCACATCTTAAATCTTTCAAATTATGTCTTTCGTTCTGAACTTTTTCTTTCAGAAGACGACAAATTTTCCTTGTTATTTTAATTTTTTTATCGTTTTATGTACATAGGTATGTATGAAAGTTATTTAATGTATATTAAGTCATTGTATTAATTTAGCAAAGCTTTGAATTGAAATTCTTTCCCTATTTTTTTAACGTAGTGGCTAGAAAGAAAAAATAATAACTAATTTCATTAATTGTACGCACACTTTGATATAAACTAATTGAATTTTTGAGAATTAATTTATGAACAATATAAATATATACATATGTACATTTTCGATGTATTTTAAAACAAAATTGGAACAAGTAAATATTTGTAAATAAACTTTTTCGTCGACTCAAAAATAAAGAAGCTCCCATATACATAGACAAATATTTTACAGAAAGCTTCAACAAGCTTTAAAAACCATATTTGCTTCTAAAAATTATTAATACCATTAAACAGTAAAAAATATATTCGTATTAAACCTTATGGTTTAACTAAGGGGTCTGCTATACCTTATTGTGAGCTGTAAAACAAGTGCATTTTTAATATTTTGAAGAACTTTTGTAATGGTTAGAAAAAATTTTTATGACATTTAAAGTCCAATTCGTAAATAAATAAGTACAATTTGTTCATAAAATTTCAATATGCTACATTGAAGGATGTGTCAGTTTCGCAAACGATCAGACACACAAAAAAAAGGAAACTTTTGAAATAAACAAATTTTTCTCAGCTTGCTTTATTAACATAAACATCAAAATTTATCGAGTTTTTCAAGGTTTTTTAATATACAATCTTGAGTGATTATAAAGCATTTATTTTTGAAAGCAAATGCTTCACGAATTTGTTAATTTGGTATTACGAAATAAAAAAAACTCTTGCTATTGCCTTTTAAAATTGAGAATAAAGTTTTTAATTTCAAAAGGGAATAACAGAAAGGTTCTTGCATCACAATTAATTTACAAGACTGTTAGATTAAATTCAACGTTGCATACAATAATATAAAATTTCGATATTTTTTCATGTGCCAATTCTAAAATAACGTGAAGGACATTAAATGTATACTTATGCATTACTAAATGATGTATGTCTAATAATAATGTATAACAACGCGAATTTATAAGAGTTAAAGCAGATAAAATATTTGTACTATATTGTGGCAATTATTTAAAAACTGGAAGTTCGGCCGACTTCCGTACATTTGTTTGATAAATTAAATAATTAATTGCTTAAGCAGATCAAGATGAATTCTGTAAAATGAACTTTTTCTATTATTTTTCGTCTAAAATTTTTTATTTTGCGAGCTATACAAATGAGTATTGAATGATAAGATACTAGGGATAATCTTAAGACAAATTGAAATATCCGACCTTAAAGAACCTTGAAATTCTTAACTACCAAAGACAAAATTCTATTAAATTACTTTTAGGATATTAGGATACAACTCGACATTTGAGATTTTCATTAAATTTTGGACACATTTATTTTTTTCCTACAAAAATCTTATATTAATCTTTAAGTTTATTTAACTTTCTGTTCTAAAAATTTTTTTGTTCTTTATAGCGATCATAAAAATGTTACACAAAATTTATGTCATTATTAAATTTCATAAGAAATTGTTTTGTTTTATTGAATTCTTTTCTTCGTCGCACAATCCTATATATAAAAATATCATAAACAGCGTTGCAAATTCTTTTTATATTTTTCCTATGTGGTAAAAAAGTGTATAGTTGGTGCTATGTACATACTTACATATAATATACAGAGACCTCTAATCAAAGAGAAAATTTGTCATATGGGATCTTTCTTATATGAAATTTCATGTAGATATTTTTAACTTTCAGTTTTAGTTTATTTTTAATTTTCTAATAAAATTTATTACTTAAGTTTACTATAATAAAGTAGTGGAAGTCTTTTTAGAAATTTTTATAATCCATAAATTTTATCCGAAATGAAATATGTGAGGAAAATTTAAAAGTATAAAATGCTTGCAAAAATAGATGTGATTTTTAGAATAATTTTTGTCACACATGCTATTTGATAGAGCAAATAATTCAAATTAATTTGAGATATATATAATTTTTTACTTAATTATTATTAATCAGAAATTGTTTGCTATAACTATCATGTAGTATTACGGTTAGTCGATGGAAGCGGGTTTTAGTGATTTGTTACAACCTTCCTAAGTATTCATTATCAAAACAGACAAAAATCTTTAAATTTGCATTAGGTAATAAATGAATGGAGAGTCACCATGAACAAAACAAAATTGATTTTTAGAAAGTCTTAAACAATTTGAACTCATATTATGTCCGTCGATCGTACGTGCAAACTCTTGGTTTTGAAAATGAAACACAAATAGGAACTAAAAAAATTTCATAGAAAAACAATAAATTTTATACTTGCAATTTATTTTATACTGAATAAAAGCTTTTATTATTATTACTATTTTTTATTTTAATCACTCGTATTATTATAATTGTAATAGAAATTGAATTATTATATTGAAATTGAAGTAGAGCAAATAGAAATTGAATTATTTTTAATTTCTCATTATTATTTTCAACTTTCAAAATAATTTCAAAACAGATATTATGATTTTTGATTTACAAGTCATTTTTATTATTTCAAATTCACAATTCTGTTGTAATTAATTATTTCTCCAAATTTTATTTCCAGATTCAGTTCTTTAGTTGCAAATGGAAGCCTGTAAACCGAAGTGAATAATACCAATTTTAAAATTGATATAATAAATAAACAATTTAACATAAAATAATTCAAATATGAAAAGGTAAAAAATATTTAACTAAAAAAACAATAAGAAAAAGGACGAATAAAGACAAAACTGGTCAAGTGCAATATATTAAATTTCGAACAAAATTTTGCAGCCAATTTTTAAATTATAATAAACTGCAAAACTTACTTAAGAAGAAAAGATAGCGCACAAGAGTTACTTCAATTAATTTAATTCAATTGAAAGGAGTTTCGAAAAGAAATTTAAATATTTATCTGCAATAAATTATCAAATCGTATAATGTCTATTAGCGTCATCAGGACCATAAAAATAAGTTATAAAATAAATCATACCTCGTGGTAAATCAAAAAATAATTATAATTTTATGTTTTAATTGTGAATTTGTGAAGCAGCATAATCTTAAAATATGACAGCATTTCCTCAGTTTTTCAATATCAATTAACTTTGATTTTTTTACTGCGAAGGAAAAGAAATTATAAATACATTTGCGCTTGCATGTGTAGGAGTAGGACTGTTAAACTGATTTAATTTTTGCAAGGTGTTATAATTAATTCTTTGGGATATAAAGTATATTTTTTAATTATAAACAACTTGAAAATATGGAAATCTTATAACCCCAGCTCAATAAATGGAAATTATTTTCAAAATTTTTAAAAGATATCATAAAAAATTTCACCATAAATTGCAAAGTATAGAAATTCAGAAATTAATTTCCAAATTTATAATTATTTAAATAACACAGAACTCATTATAAAATTCGCATTAATAATATCGAATAGCTATAAGTAATTTAATTTGATTTTCATAAAACGCTGTGTTGAATATATTAGTAATGACAAGGTTATCAAAATAGAGTAAGAAAAAATAAAGTCAAACTCAAAAACAAGCATACATTATGCTTTGATATTATAAACTATATTTATAACGGCACAAAGTGTTATGTAGACATTTATAAAAAGTGAAAAACGAGTGACAAAAAAAAAACAAAAAAAATGGAAAATTCGTCACCGTTAGTTTATAGTACCAAAAAGTTTAATCATAATTTGAAAACGAAATTAAATTTAAATTATTATAATAACAATAAAATTAAAATGACATCATCAAATAGAACAAAAAATTCAAGTCAAAATTATAACTTGAATTATACTAATAATAAAAATAATCATAACGGTATTAATAGTAATAATTACAGTTCTTATAATAATAAAAATAATTGTAATAATCAAAATTTTAATTATAAAAATAGTATTATAAACAAGAAAAATTGTTGTAATACCAATAATAAATCTAATTTAAATAACATAAACATTAAAATTAAAATACATAAAAATTTAATATTTAATGTAATTATAACTATATTATTAGTATGTATAACAAATTTTTCATATTGTGTAGTTAACTGTTTACCATTTGCTGATGCTGAAGTTGAAATTTATATTAATGATGAAGGATTTGAAGTAGCCAGCATTAGCGAAACACATTGTCCAAGACAATGTCAGTGTGACGGACTAACTGTTGATTGTTCACATAGAAACTTAATACAAGTACCAAGAAATATACCACCCGAAGTTGAAAAATTGTAAGTAAAATTAATAACATTTTAAACACATATTCAAATTTTATTTTATTATCACAGATAATGTATCACTTATATACATTACATATGTGATAATGTATCACATATGTACATGTGTGTAAAATGGTAATATTGAGATTTATTTTTACGGATCTAAAATGCTGACATTAAAGTAAGAAAAACGTCGGTAGAAAAATATCGTAAATGAAAAATGGGAACTTTTTAAATTCGATTTTGATTAGTGTTCACATTTTTCCAAAAATTACTCTTAACTTGATTTGATCAAAACTGCTTCTTCTTACATAAAATACTTTTCTTTATTGTTACATGTCATACCCATATGAACGTATGTATGTTCAAACAGTATTGAAATTGTAATTATATAACGTATATGTATGTATATACGTTGATATACATATCTCATAGTTCTATGTATATATCTATATATATATATACATAGATGTTCTAAATTATAATAAATGCCAGAATCCTATATGACCGCTAAATTTAAATCGACGCAGCATACAATATGTGGAAATCAATATTACAGCACTGACGCGCGGCATACAGGAATTAAACTATACGCATTATATATTTATAGTTGTAAAAGTAGGGTTGACACTTTTCCAAATTGGTTCCAATTGGAAATTCGAAACTAATACGGCTACTGAGCTCCAATTTTGGTAGTGCCAATTTAACCAATTGTTTTTTTAATCAATTAATGTAATCAAAACAATGATTTGCATGGTTGTCTTTTGTAAGTTAATTTGAAGCTACAGTATTGGAATTGATAAAGATCCGTTAAAATTGTATGACTGATAGCAGCCATACAACCTAAAAATTGTGCTTATATTTTAGAATGTGCTATTGAAACAAGGAATTTTTTAAAAATAAATTTGTAGTCTTATGACTTTTAGTTTTAGTAAAATTCTATGATACTGTATAAACTCTATGTGTGATTGTCATACAGGTTCAAAAGTTATTGAATTAAAAAAGTAATTTCAAAAAAAGAAGAAAAGGAAGAAGTTTACCAATTACGAGTATCATACAACTCTTAAAATCATTCTTTCCTACGGGTATCACAAATTAAACACCGTTAGTTCGATCTATTCTCCTTCAAAACCAAAAAATTCCTTTCGCTTAACACTTATTTAAACTAACCTTTCTTAATATATAAATGTATATATTTAAGATTTATTGTTAATCTTGGTGCTTGTTGTTTTCATATAACATTAACGAGTTGAATTTTGCATACAATTGTCTGCTGATCAGTTAATTCTGTATGAAAACATTAAAAACATTTCTTTTGGGCCTGTCACAAATTTTAAAGTGGGATTTTAATGAAGTTTTTCTTTTTTCGCTCATTTATATTACTTTTAACGCTCCATCTACAAACACTTAATATTTATTCGTTTGAAGGGATTATTTATTAAGATGCTTCATGTTCCTTAAATTAAATTTTATGAAAATTCAAAGACTTTTTCAAAAAAATTAATAAATTTTTTTTTGTAAATGAACTTGAAATTCTAGACAATGTTATAAAAAGTTATTGGCATACCTGTATAATAAAATTGGACGTCTATATGAAAGCCAAAGATGGTGAACAAATAAAAGCAAATGTTGAAAAATTAAGATGATATTTTATAGTTTGTTCATTCATAGAAATAATAATATGAAATTAATTAAGGAATAAGTCTTCCAGATTTTAAGAAATTTTAATTCTTTTTAAGGAAATTATAAAAGTCTAAGTTACCTTAAACAAGCTAATCCAGCATTTTAGCTTTATAAGCTGTCGTAACAAAAAAAAGGCAAAGCAGAAGCTACATTTGGGGAAGAATCTTTTCGTTCAGGTATATTTTAACAACTCAAGAGAAGCCGAGTAACACAATAACTCACGTACAATACTAGACTTACCTTAGAGCACGCCAATACTAGATTATTTAGATCACATGACTTACAATAAGGGAACTTATTGTAATGGCCTCAAACTTCGCATGTCGATTTTTCTTTGGTATTCCACTTCTCCATTGTAGGGAAGCATAAATACAAACTGTTTTGAGAAATGTCAACCTGGTAATCATAGTCCTGTATCTCAAGTTCAGCAGAATCGATTTTCGCGGAAATGTTATATCTGAATTACCGGCTTCAGCACTGGATACATATGTATATGAAAAATTCTATTAAGATATATGAAAAATGCTATTAATTTTTACCATAACATGAATTTTAATAAGTAAGAAAAGAATTGAGGGCTTATACCTGTACGAACATATGTTCGAAGGGTATACTAAATTTGCCTTACCTTTTGTAATGCCTAGAAATAATGTTCTGAGATATAGACTCAAGTAAATATTTTTGTCCTGAGCTAAGTTCATCAAATTTCACAAATTATAGAAATTTTTATTATTAAATTCACTCATAATAAATCATTATTTATTAAAGTACTTAAATGCCAGAACCCTATTTAACATATGATCGTGGTACTTGTTCCGGTACCTGCCATGCAACTCAAAAATTTATTTGCTATATCTCAGAAACTGTAAAAGCTATGGTATTGAAATTTCACACAAACGAATATCTTAGGGTCAGTGTATTTGATAAAAGTCGTTGAAATCGCTTGCCTCATTCTGCTAGTTGGCATACAACTTCAAAAGGTATTTGGCATTGTCTCAGAAATTGTTGGAAATATAATATAGAAATCTCGTAAAAATAAGTGTGTTATTAGGGCTGTTATGTGCGATAAGAATAGTTGATATTGCTTAACCTTGTGGTAGCTGCCGTACAGCTTCAATAGTAGTTCAGCCATATGTTAGAAAATATTGAAAAGTACTTAAATTTTGTACACAAAAAGCACACAGTACCGAAATTTTACATAACTTAATATGTAAATATGACAAATTATGTACCATAGTCAGCTATAGGATATTCATAACTCGAATAACAAATTCGTACGGGTATCACAGAGTTTACATGGTCAGCTCTATTTTTTTCGTTTTCTGTATTTTTTAATGAAATAAAATCAACGACCAAATCAAATTAAGTGTGTAAGCCTTTTTTTTCTTATTATTAACCAAGCCCAAATTTATAACATGTTAACTGTTAAGTAATTGTTAAAATTCCGTATTACGTTAAAATTCGTAACATAGTAACAAAATATTGAAGAAACAAATTTAAATAATGTAAAACAAACTAATGTACATTACATTCAACGTAAAAATCAATCTCTTCAAGATTTAAATGAGATCATTAAAAAATATTTTAAATAAAATTTAAATATGTATACAAAATTGATAATAAAACAAACTTCTTATAGATAGTATATACATATAACGTATTTTGGGGGGGGAGATCGACATAAAAAATCGAGTCGGTCATTTGCCTCAACAACATTTTTTTTTAATTAAAAATTAGTTTTCAAAGCACATTAAGATATAAGAATGCTAAAAAATACAAAAATAAATTTTTATTAAAAAAATACATTTTATTAAGTAGATTTATGTTCTTACATTGGCAGAGAAACCTGATATTTTTTTATCACTATATACACTAAGTTTCATGCAGAATTTTTTATTTTACATTTTTTTTCTGTATTTATCAACGACAGGATAATAAATAGATAAGAAGTATCAATTTTCTTTTATAACAACAAAGAAACATGCAAAAAAAAACCAAGAGAAAAAATGGGAAATCTATTCTACTCTGTTACTATGGCATTAGGAAATCAGACAATTTATGGCTTTTTTTTACTCATTTTTTCAATATTTTCCCCAAAACAATATTTTCGATTATTTTTAGTGTATCTTTTTTGTATTTACTTGTTTAAGGATCTTAGTTGTGACTTTAATCCATGTTCATCATAATATTTTTATTAAGTTATTTAAAGCCTTCGAAGAAACGCATTTTTATGAAAATTTTAGGGTGCTGAAACAAATACATACACGTGTATATATACATACTTTTTTCAAAAATTTCTATCTATTTAATTTGTTTAATCATTATTATTAGGTATGTACATTATTATGATTATTACATGCCCATACCTAAGTATTTATCTATATGCCATGTACTTTTATGCATTTACAAAACATTTGATGGGAATCTTAAACGTTTAGTTGTGTGTTAAATTGAAATTAATTTTCAATGAGCTAAGCGTAATGTGAGAAATCCAAAATACTTGCGCAAAAAAGGTTTTCTAAGATCCTAAACTAAGTAAATACAAAACGCTTATAAAATAATTGATGATTTCAGCATTGAAATTTGTATATATATTCGACTTGCGTCACCAGTAGGTACTCCACTTACGTAGCCAGCAAGTAGTCCACTTACGTGGCCAGGAGGTTTTATACTTGCAAAGCGTTGAATATTATCATATCAAATCTCATAAGCATCGTTGTTAATAATGGCAACAAAATAATACGGCGCATCAAGAAAGGTTTTACTTTTAAAAATTATATTTTTGCCTTTTGTGATTTAATGAAAACTCAGGCTATAAAAATATAAAATTTAACCTTAGAATTTGAATGAGTACCCTAGTACCCTAGAAAACAGTTCTCTCCAGGAATACGATTTTAGTTTTTGGTATCACTTATTTTAAGGATGGATACAATTAGATTAGATTGTGCTTAGAGAAATCTGGTGTGAACAACTGTGATTACCGCATTGTTAAGATAGTGAATAAGATTATGAAAATTTCTTTAGATATTTATTTTAAATTCTATCAAACATAGAAGTAAACATAGTTAATTTACCTAGAAAAATGTGAATAAGGTTTTTGTTGAAGTTCATTTTCCGTGATCCGATTTCCCTGCAAATTTTCCGAGAAAATTTCATTAGCGGTCAGAATTCAATATTTTCGAACTAGTTCGAAGAAGTTTCGTCAATCAGTTTCTCAGATATAACCAAATATATAAAGTCGGCCATTAGTGTGTAAGTTTTCGAACACTAATATTCTCGATTCATTGTTTTAATAATTTAATAATAGCAATTATATCTAGATAATTATT